GCTTTCATGAAATCTACGAACAACTGATGTACTGTCTCATTGTACTCCCATTTTTTCAGTAGTTGACGTATGCAGAAGATCTTATCAGTAGTTGATCTGTTACATCGAAACCCACACTGATGATCCCAATAATTTCATCTATGTATGGTCTTAATCTTGAGAAAAGAATCATCATCATCATCAGTAATCTGTCAAGACGACAGGTCCACAGTCTCTTTCAAAACAATTCCTCCACTTAATGCGATCTAGAGCTTTCTCCTTCAAATGACAGTATCCTCTTCTGTCCCCAAGGTCATCCAGCATCTTCTTACGTCTTCTTCCTCGTCTTCTTGTCACTTCTATCCGCCCATCTATCTTTCCTTCGATAGCTTCTTTTAGAAGGCAGTTTCTGCGTAAAACATGACCAATCCAATTAGCCTTCCGTTTTCTTATTTCATGTAGGATATTCCTCTGCTCACTGACTCTAATTAACACTTCTTCATTTCTCACATAATCGGTCCAACTGATCTTCTCCATTCTTCTCCAACACCACATTTCGAAACTTTCCAGATGTTTCTGATCTACTGCCCTAAGTGTCCATGTTTCAGCCCCATACAGAGCTATGCTCCAAATGTAGCATTTCACTAGTTTCTTCCTCAAATTTAAGTCCAATTTGCTGGTAAAAAGATTCTTCTTCTTGCTAAATGCAGCTTTTGCCATGGCAATCCTGGATTTAATTTCACAAGTACACCTTCCATCATCTGTTAACAAGCTACCCAAATATTTAAAACATTTCACATTCTCCACTTGTTTTTGGTCTATCTTTATTGTGACTGGGGTTGGTTGTCTCGAAATTTTCATTACTTTTGTTTTCTCCACATTCATTTCCATGCCATAGCACCTTCCAATTTCAATTAGTCTATCAATCATGCCCTGTAGCACAGTTTCTTCCTTAGCCATTAACACAAGGTCATCTGCATATTTCACAGTTTGAATAATTTGCCCTCCTACTTTGAAGTCACCGAGCCCATCCAGAGCTTCCTTGGTAAGGCATTCGCTGTACAAGTTGAACAGAATTGGTGATAAACAGCATCCTTGTCGAACTCCTCTTCCAATCTGCACACTTCCTGTCTCCCCCCTGTCCAGTCGTACTCTAACTTTCTGATCCATGTACAATTTGCTAATCAATCTTCTTTCATGCCAATCGATACCTGTTTCTTTCAGGATCTGCATTAATTTGGTCCAGTTTACCCGGTCAAATGCCTTCTGCCAGTCTATGAAGCAAACACACAGTTCTTCATCTATCTCCAAAGTTCGTTCCGCTATAATTCTCATCATCCCAATTGCATCCCTGGTTCCTTTTCCTCTTCTAAATCCAAACTGATCTTCTCCAAGTACATCCTCTATTTTCCTTTCAATTCTTCTTTTAAGTATCTTTGCTATTATCTTTGCTGTATGTGCAATAAGACTTATTGTGCGATGGTCGCTGCATTTTGTAGCTTTTGTCTTTTTCTTTAAGGCAATCATTGTAACTTCTGTAAAGTCCTTGGGCCACTCTCCACTTTCATATATGGTGTTCATTAGTTTTGTCAGTGTTTTCAAACCACCTTCTCCCAGTAACTTGAGCACATCTCCAGGTACATCATCATCTCCTGTAGCCTTTCCCTTCCTCATTTCCTTGATAGCTTTTTCCACCTCACTTTGTAAAATATATGGTCCTTTCTCGTCTGTATCTACTTCTTCTTCCGGTTCAACTTCTAAGGTTTCTGGCCGATTAGGTCGATCATATAGTTCTGAAATATAATTTTCCCAAATTTTCAGCACTTGCCTCTGATCTACTATTCTATTCCCCTGGGAGTCTTCGATGCCAACATTTTGAATCCCATGATTCTCTTTCCATCCTAGTTCTTTTGTCTTCATGTACATCAAATCATAACGGCCTGTTCTTTGAAATTCCATAATCTCATTACATATCTTCTCAAGATATTCCTTTTTGGCCCTGTCCGTGGCTCTTTTCAATTCATTCCTCAGTCTCCTGTATTTCCTCCTGCCTTCTTCATTGTTGACATTCTTCCATTTCCTTCGCTCCTCCATTTTACTCATCATCTCCTGTGTAACCCATGGTTTTCTTGCTATCTTCTCAACTTTACCTACCAAATCACTGATAGTATCTAACATGCATTCTTTTATATCGTTCCACTGCGCTTCAGCATTTCCGCTTTCACCTTCAATTGCACCGAGTTTCTCTTCTAGAGTCTCTTGCACGCTTTGTCTTTGAGCATATAACTTCTCCAAATCCCATCTGGGTCTGCGCTTTCGAAATCCTATAATTTTCTTCAACCTGGTTCGGAACTTGGCAACCAGCAAGTTGTGGTCAGAGTCAATGTCTGCCCCAGGAAGCGTCTTCACATCCTTCACACTGTTTCTGAATCGATGTTTCACAAGGATGTAGTCCAGCTGATGCCTCTTCCAATCCCCAGGTGCCTTCCATGTGTAAATTCTTCTCTTTGGCTTCTTGAACCAAGTGTTGGTAACAATCAATCCATTTCGTTCACAAAAGTCAATAAGCATTTGACCTCTGTGATTCCGTCTTCCTAGTCCATGTGATCCAACAATATTCTGATATGGTTCATCTCCAACAATGCTGTTCCAGTCTCCCAATATGATGCTGTTTGTGTCTCCTCTTCCATCTTCCTGAAGAATTTCTTCAATTGTGTCATACACTTTTTCCACTTCATCATCTTCATACTCTGATGTTGGCATGTACACTTGTATAATCAGTATATCTACCGGTTCCGCCTTTAACTTCAGAGCAATAATTCTGTCATTACAAGCAATCTTCTTAACAACACTCCTCACTACACTTTTATGCACCACTATTGCCACACCTCTTTCAGCCCGTTCACCTCCGGAATAATACACTGTATAATCACCGCTTCTTATTTCACCTTGTCCTTTCCACCGCACTTCGCTGACACCTAGCACAGACACTTCATTCTTCTGCATTTCCGTTTTCAAATTCTCCAATTTTCCTGCTTGATTCAAGGTCCTGACATTCCATGTTCCAATCTTGTATCCATGCTGTTTCTTCTGATCTTCGCACTTTTTCTTGTTGTAACGCCTGCATGACATTTCCTCTAGAAACACTCCCCCCCGGAGATCCGATTGGGGGAGTAGTTTACCTCCGGATTGTTTTGCCTCCAGAGGAAACATCTCGCATATATGGTATCTCTGTTTTTGGAAAGAGACTATCCAGGAAAAGTGATAATGTGGTAGTTTTTCCATTTGCTTTCCACATCGCAGTACAGCAGCCGTTCAAACCACTCTGGTCACGCCTGCTGCTATACGAACTTGAACCATCTCGAGCATCATTTGCTCTGTGCTTCAAGTCGCTACTGATGACGCTGAGAAAAGAATATTGGATAAAATTTTATATGAGGTTGATAGCAATATACGAAACTATAATTTTGCCTGTGGTTCTGTATGGGTGTGAAACTTGGTCTCTGGCATTACGTGAGGAACTGAGACTGAGGGTGTGTGAAAACAGGGTGTTGAGGAGAATATTTGGACCGAAGAGAGATGAAGTGACAGGAGGTTGGAGAAAACTGCATAATGAGGAGCTTCATAACTTGTACTCTTCTTCAAGTATAATTAGAATGATCAAGTCAAGGAGGATGAGGTAGGCAGGTCATGTAGCACGAATGGGGGAGACGAGGAATGCGTATAGGATATTGGTGGGAAAACCAAAAGGAAAGAGACCGCAAGGAAGACCAAGGCGTAGGTGGGTGGACAATATTAGAATGGATCTTAGAGAGATAGGATGGGATGGTATGGATTGGATTGGATAGATCTGGCTCAGGTTAGGGACCAGTGGAAGGCTCTTGTGAACACGGTGATGAACCTTCGGGTTCCATAAAATGCTGGGAAATTCTTGAGTAGCTGCAGAATTGGCGGCTTCCCAAGAAGGGCTCAGCTCCATGAGTAAGTATGTAAGTATGAGGTTGATAGCAGTGATAACCCACGGTAATTACTACAGTCAGTTTTATCACCCTTCTTGTGAACTGGTACAATAATAGACTCCTTCCACTGATAAGGCAATTTTTCCTTATGCCAAATAGAAATAATTAGCTTATGGATCTTAGAACGTAATATTTCGCCTCCTGCTTCAACAAGTTCTGCCGGAATTTGATCATTACCTGGCGATTTATACCATTTCAATTTTGCAATAGCACTTTCAACCTCAAAATAACTAGGATCAGGTACTAACGGCTCCGCTGTATGGATTTCTGTCTGCCTAACATCGCTGACAGTTATTCAATAACTGGGAGTAGTAGGTCCTCCACCTATTTAAAATGTTGTGGGAATCTACAAGCAGATCACCATTCTCATCCTTCACTAAGATACTTCTAGGTTTGTGACCCCTCATAACGTCATTTATTCCTCTATTCAGGTCTTTAATGTTCTTGTTCTTACTGTTCATTGCAAGCTCATCAATTTTGTCCTTCAGATATTCCCTCTTTTTGTTCCTGAAATGCCTGCTGGTTTCACGTCTGTACTGATTCTGAACCGCTATCACGGATCAATTCCCTCGCAGTATGAAGTGCTCGTAATTGCCTTATTCCTCCCAGAATTGTATGGATGTAGAGATTTTCGTGATGGAAACCTACAAAAACTTCTTTGCGACCCCAAACAGAGACAGATGTCTGTTCTCTGTCATCCTGTTCAGAGTTCTTCTGACTCCTCCCCATCCTCCGGTACTTGGGTACTGATACCGGCAGCTCTTTCCCCCGGGGGCAAAGTGGCCGGCTTGCTAAGCATACCATTTGTTTCCATCCGTTGCATGGACCCGAGCTGCAGAGTTGTTACGCGTTGCTTTTGTAAGAGTGGCATGTTATTCGTTGCTTGTAGTAATCAGGTTACCTGTTACTTAGTTAACCAGGCCCATAACATACATTGCGCTTGCATGTCCATGTGTGGCAGCTGAGTGTGAACTAACGCGTGCTTTTTGTTGTTGCTTTCAGAACACGATATTGCCAGTGGCGGTCCACTTCTGGGAAATGGCCCTCATGGTCAGAAAAACTAACAGCGTAATACGGCTTAACAGGTAGTAACGGAATTATAATTGCCCATAGTATTGTTGCTGAGAGTGATGTGCTTGAAACTGATTTGTCCGCCTCCGTCTTTCCTCCATTGTTACTCTGCTCATTTCCTGTGTCGACTAACATTAATGGCCAAGTTCAGAGAAATCTAAGTATATGTTGCCGTCTCGTTACCAAAATGCAGGACAATATCAGGACATAAAGATAGGAAACAGATGTTTTGAAAATGTGGCACAGTTCAGATATTTTTTTTTGTGTATTATTTATTAACAATCAGAATTACGTACATTCTATAGGTTAATGGTTTCGCTAAGGACTATTACATGTCATGCGAGGAAAATGTCCATCGACATTACCTCTTCAGAAGTTGATTTGTTTTATATCAGGTCATTTGGCCATTTCCTTTGTTCATATATTTGGGAACGACGATAACAGATCAAAACCTGGTTCAGTAAGAAATTAAGAGGCGATTGAATTCGGGTAATGCTTGCTACCACTCAGTGCAGAACCTTTTGTCTTCTCGTGTGCTGTCTAAAAACATAAAAAAAATATATACAAAAGTATAATTTTGTCTGTGGTTCTGTATGGGTGTGAAACTTCGTCCCTGACATTAAGGGAGGAACACAGACTGAGGGTGTTTGAGAACAGTGTGTTGAGGAGAATATTTTGGCCGAAGAGAGATGAAGTGACAGGAGGTTGGAGAAAACTGCATAATGAGCTTCATAACTTGTACTCTTCTCCAAGTATAACTGGAATGATCAAGTCATGAAGGATGAGATGGGCAAGGCATGTAGCACAAATGGGGGGGGAGGCGGAATGCATATAAGATATTGGTGGGAAAGCCGTAAGGAAGGAAACCACTGGGAAGACCACGACGTGGGTGGGTGGACAATGTTAAAATTGATCTTAGATAGATAGGATGGCATGATATGAATTGTATTGATGCGGCTCAGGATATGGAGTAGTGGCGCGCTCTTGTGAACACGGTAATGAACCTTCGGGTTCCATAAAATGCTGGGAAATTCTTGAGTAGCTGCACAGTTGGCAGCTTCTCGAGAAGGTCTCAGCTCCATGAGTGAGTGAGTGAGTAAGAGCGGAAAGATCTCTCAGTGTGTCTACTATTGACACCCGTGGTCCTATAGTGTGCGGGTTAAGTTAGTACATGCTGCGTCCCAAAGATTACGCTATAGTATTAGAGAAACCATTCGAGTGATACCAGCTCCCCGAATGAATTGAAATAATGAAACTATTTAAAGTGGTCTCCAGGTTGCATGAGTTCAAGGTCACATCTTCAAAACCTCGGTGACTTTTAGCCAGCCTATCAAATTTTGAATGGAATGTTCTCTCCGTTGTGATGTTTCGTTCCTTGCATGTCACAGAAATTTTATAGAGGAATACACGTACAATTATTTGACGTTTATTTTGCTTTGGGTTCTATTGAAATTAGATTATTAATTAAGACAAATCTTGAAAATAGTGTAACAGGCTTAACAGTCATATTTTTGCATTATTCTTCCGCCACCTCAGACATTTGTAATGTTACGCAGAAATGTTGAGGCAGTATAAAATTTACAAACTAACGTCATTCTTTCTGAATACTCGTCTATACACGTATGTTATAATTTTGCAGGAGCTCGTAGCTACAGTTACAGATTTGTTGATCCGCGCAGTTAGTTCCATTTTGCCTCATAAAAAAAGAAGTTCTGTTGTAACTGAATAAGTTTGAAAACAAACAATTATATCAGCTTTTAAATAGCCGAGTTTTGTCCGAAATAAATAATCCTGGGGGGGGGAGTGTGTCTGAAAGTCGAATGCCAAAGCTGCTTAGTCGATTTGAACTAAAGGACAGCTGCCAGGGACGTCCTACAAAAGGATGGCTCAGCAGGTTTAATTCTTATAACCAAAAGAGTCCAAGGTCTTAATCCGTGATGTTGATAGTGAACAAGTGAAGGGACTAGTTTTAATGAAATGTAATGTTTTGTCAAAGCTAGTGGCCGCTCATGTTTCAGCCGTAGTTCCAGTTTCCAGTTGATGCAAGTAAAAGGAATTTACACGTTTTTCAGAGCACAGCAGCAACTTTACATTAATTTCGCAAAGATTATAAAATGAACATGTGATTGGAAATTAATGTTTCTCCTTAATATTTCGCCTCTGAAACTGCTGAACGAATTCCGATGAAATCTGGTACGTCGAACATTGCCAGGTCGTTTGACTTTCTTTCTAATCGGCCCGATATGAAATCTTTATTTTTCATGAAGCTGAAATTGAACATTGTCATTTAATCTTTATGGTATGCATCCTGTGTGTATAATTCACTAAAAGAATATAATTGACGCGGTCTTCACAACAATAAGTTCAGAAAATGAACAAGATAGGCACTATCGTGTCAACAATATTCTTTTAGTGTGTTGTGATTTCAGACTAGGCACCCTGGTGCTGGTGGGGGTGGTAGTAGTAGTAGTAGTATCAGCGTTATTGGTGGCGGCGGCGGCGCTTTGTTTATTTACATACTGTTATTTTTAACGACGTTGTCAGTAGCTTAAACAGTGTATTATCAGTTGGTGGGGTGATTAGTGAATACGGAATTGGAACGGACGTGGGAGGAAGCGGCCATTGCCTAAGTTCTTTTTAAAGTGAAATAATGAACTTTTCGTCAAATACGAGTACATTGTTAACATCTCCGACGTTAACTTTAATTATCGGCATTTCGTTCATGTTTATCTGTAACTTGCAAATATTTGTTTCGCCGGGGAGATGCGACAACTTCTCCCGAAACTTGTTTGGCGTGTAGTCTATACAGCATGGGCATTTTCACTCCAAATTTGAAATTTGAAATTTCCACGTCGGTGAAAATTTATATTTGGAGGGGTGAGGGTCTGAATACTATATATTCTTGCAGGTGGGTACCAACGTTTCAAAGGAGCACACATCCCCGATGTTCAGGGTAGATGATATCTCCAACAACCATACAGTTGAATGCAAGCCCAGGGCAGTTCATTTATGGTACTGGGAACTGGCAAATTTAATCGAAGTAGATGATTTTGAGTTAAGTCCCCTCCGCCCTCTATGTAAATCCCCAGCATCATGAAAGGGTTAATATCCCTGGTCTTGCAGTAGATAACACCAATTAGGATAAGTAACTCAGACAAAACAATCGGCAGTCTCAAACTCATGTAACTGTGATGATTCAAGGAATCTCAAGTATGTGAATATTGACAAGAGGGACAACCTCTGGTCGCCCTAAGCACACAGGCCACTACTGTGTTCATTGCATTGGGCCCCTTCAAAATGCCCTGTCCTCGTTGCTAGAGCCAGGCTCTATCGCTTCACCCTATGGAGAACCGAAGGTCCTCATTTCATAATGCCCAGCTCTGGTACAAGGTAGAAGGATCCCTCCTTCTGTCCACATTTCCTGCATGTAGCATTATTCTAGGGGTCCATAAGGTGTAGGTACTGCCTCAGTGAGCAGAGGCCTGTTACCAGTCTGCACTGTTTTCTACCTGTGGCATTTATACTATGATACTAAACTTGTTACAGTAACATTTTATATGAAACAGTGCTGATAAGTGCATGATTTCAGCAAAGATGAACTGCACAGTATAGACCCAAGTATTCCCATACACTGATGATATATTCTAACTCTATTCATATCTAACAACTCTGACTATAACATTGCTGTTAATTAGTCTTCTTATTCTTCTACTATTCATAACTGCTACTACCCCTCCTGATAATCTTAATGAGCATACACAAAAACAGAATAAAGACAGATCTGCATTATTCCTTAGCCAGTGTGTACAAAGATATTATGTATGGAAATGTGTCAAGTAAAACTGACATGTAATGTACTGTACATGGCAGAGCATGTACAAGTTATAGTTCGATAAATGAAACATGTCTGCGCTTCTGTACTCTCAAAATAATGGTAGTGTGTGGATGGAAATATTAGTGTTCTTGTTGTTGTTGTCGTCATCATCGTCGTTGTCGGGGTGGTGGTGGTACATGAAGATTACCCTGAAATATCATTGATATATACTGCATGATTACAATAATAAATTTGGCACTTTGTTTGTGTGGGGTCACGCGGTAGCATAGTTGGTTGAGGCACTATGCTACAAGCTGGAAGGTCACGGGTTCAAGTCCCTATGAAGTCATTGGATTTTTTCAATTGACCTAATCCTTCCAGCCACACTATGGCCCTGGGGTCGACTCAACCTCTAACAGAAATGAGTTCCAGGAATATTCTTTGAATATTCTTGGGGGTAAAGGGCGGCCAGCGCGTAAGGCTGACAACCTTGCCGCCATCTATGAGCCGATTGTCTAGAAAATGTGGGAACCTCAACATCTCACAACCCTATGGACCTCCATGGCCTGTTACAGGTGTACCTTTACTTACTTTATTTGGTTTGTGTGCTTGTGAAAAGTGGTCCATTGCTCTGAGGAAATAACAGAAACACAGGAATCAGAAAAATAAACCAAACTCTCAAAAAAATTTTAACATTAGAGAGGTGATGCAATTGAGTAATTTAAAATATTACATGATGGGAAGTTTCCAGTTTGCACATCTCGCATGGCACTGTTTGGAGAGTGAAAGCAAGGAGATCATGATGTGAGGGCCACTGAACTCCTGAGACATATATAATGAGTTTTGGCAGGCCAATCTTTTGAGAAGAAGATAAGAGGAAAGCATTTAAGGTAGGCAGGTTTGAGGCCTAATGATGCAGGATCATATCTGATGGGTTCTTTGAAAAAGTTACCTGCTATTATAAAACCCAAAAGTTAACTGGACCCTAGACTGAATCAGTTCAATCCATCCATGATCAAGCCCCTAAAATGACTTCTTCCCCAGAGATTTTGTATACAGTTCTCATTTCCCTCATTCGTGTTACATGTCCTACCTGTCTCATTCTTGATTTAATCGTTAGATGACGAGTAAATATTATGAACCTTCACACTATGTAATTCTCTATCTGTATGTTACACTTTACAGCCAGAGGGTTTGTTAATTGGTATCTTTTATGTGCAGTTATGAGACTACTGTACCTTATCTCATTGGGTTAGGTGAAGTTTAGTTTTATAGCTTTATTGGACTCCCTCCTGTCACCTGTATGTTGATATGATGGAAGATTATGTTGGATAGGAAAATTAGTGGACGTGACAGTATCCTCTGCTGATAAAATTTACTTGTGTTCTGTGCTGTAGGATTACTACATTCACAGGGCATTCCACATGGTAATAAAACGTCTTTGTCTTCTCAGAAAATGTGAAAACAACCAAGTGTTCTACAGGAAAGGAGAGCCATACCCATACTGCAAGAATGCTTGTGAGGCAAGAACCATGTGTGGTGAAGTACAAGTACCTGAGCATCACCTTGAAGTATGTATCATAACTTGTCTGTTTGACTTAACCACATCAGTATTATTTATTCCGATGTGTGACACTCCATCAGGTGCAGTTCATTCTGGTTGAATGTTGTACTCAAACCATTATAGGATTGGACTGCAAGTTTATAATTGTAATTAACAGAATGTCCCCTTTGAAGTCTGCTTTTATAATGTGTGTGGTGTGAATAAACAATAATGTTCATGACAGTGGTAAATAAATACAATGATTAATTTTCTTTACACTGTCCATTGCCTAATTTTTATATGAAAATGAAGCTTTGGAAACTGGACTATGTCTCTGATCTCAGATAAAGTTCCTTCCCTGTTGGCTTCTGCTGATGGAGTTCATCTCTCTCTGAACACCAGAAGTATCACAAGACATGCTATATAAACCAAGCAGGACAGAAACTATCTATGGAAGTTAACTCAAGAAGACTGTAGTTGAATGTGTCTTTTTAACATAAATACTCTCACTGATCAGTGGAGACTGGTTGTAGAGGAGGCCAAGACTCACCCAGAGCTGTAGCACCAAGTGGTAGGTAGGTACTCTCACTGATGATTTCTGTCCTGCTCTTATGTTACTCTGGTGTCCATGAGGTAGGAACTAGCTCTATTGATTGGGACCAATGGAGTAGGCGTTTTTCCTGAGGTCAAAGACAGGGCATAGTCTGTAAAATGTTTGATCTAAATAAGGACTGTGGATAATGTACAGGAATTAATCATTGTATTAATATACTATGTGACAATACAGGATAGCCAAAAATGGAGCATATCTCCATTAATGAAAACATATAGGATGTTTGTTTTCTATGTGTGAGATATGATTGTTTGATTCTGTTGTGTCCTATAGCTGCTCCTTGCTTCATATAGATGTGACCACATGTTGGGCAACTTTGTAACCTAACTTACATAGTGCAGTTGATGTTGTGGCCAGTGTAGTTGCTGATGCTCGCACTCTTACAACCCTGGACACTGTAGAATTCATCACCCTGTTGATCTTACTAGTTACAGTTACATGATGATAGAACCAGGGAGACAGGAAACTACGTATATGAGCGCCAGTAAGCAGTTACTTGCTTACAAAGGGTGTATCCTGAGTAGGAGTGAATGTTAAGACACCAGTAGTCAGAATGGGCAGAGAAGAGGCATACCCCAAGATGTGAAACCTGGATTGGTGGTCATGCTGACACCATTAACGTGAGAATGTTGCAGGTGTGTCGGACATGCAATGCAACAGGACAGGACTGTGGCACGGTGAATTCCAGCAGAGGTTCTGGAATTGATGGAGCTGACTTTGTGTTCTATGTATCAGCAATGGAGACAGAAAGGTGTCATAAAGGAATGACTGTAGCATATGCAGCGCATTGCCAACAAGAAGCAGCGCTAGACAGGTAAGAAATGGTTACAGTATTTGTGTGACATGATCACATTTATTGATGTTTCCTCCAGATCGGGTTGCCCTTTCAACACAGCCTTCTCCATTCTAAAGTATCCTTCCATTAGCATTTTCTTATATCTGTCCACTCCTCCCTTCCCTTTTCCTCAGCTGTTTTCATGCTTAGTCCTTGTTTCTTCCAGTTATATTGTTTTTTACATTCTTTTTATATTTTCATATGTTTATTATTGTTGCCCATGTATAGTGTGTGTCCATACTACTGTATCCTTAATTTTTTGTAATGTTTCTACCTCAAGATCTTGTCTGAGGTCCTGGTTTCATATTTTATACCCTTTGTTTATTTATTAATGCACTGTAGAAATTATGTCTCTGTTTCTTTTACATGAAGTCATCAGTAATCTTTTGTTATAACTGACTTCAACACATTTTGGCCGAACATGGAAACTGACAGGAGCTGGTGAAAATAAATTCCCCTGAGTTCTTACATCCCACCATAAATACACATAGACAATGTGGAAGTCAAACTCACCAGACCTAGACCTGGGCCTTGATGCTGTGTGGTTGTGATTGGTCAGTTTCATGCTCCGGCCATGTTACTTTTGAGAAAAGAATCCTCCGGTACATATTGTGTAGAAAGCTCGACGTGCTAGACATCGTGGCAGAGAGAAAAATGTATCCTTGCTAGAAATTCAGCCTTGGCAGAAAGAGGCTGATGTGGAAAGAAAATATACAAGTAAAATAAGATTAATTGTAGTGTCTTCATTTGTTGTTTACATTTAACTCACTAGAATACTTCATTACATGCACTTTGCATGAAGAAAGAAAATTTGGAATGACTTAGATGACAGTCATGCCCACCTGTCTTTTCTTTATATCTTTACAGTATTTGAGTGCTTTTATTACAGCAGAAATCTTCATTTACATAAAGGTACAAGCATAATACATCTTTTTATACTGTATTTACCAAATAATAAATGATGTAAAATCAAATATGTTATCTTAAAACTTTTTATATTATCAGCTATTTTAAAATATTTGATAAATTTTGAGTGTAGTTTTTCCAAACCTACATAATTATGATGCATATAATTTTAGGCAATGATCGTTTCCAGAACAGCAGCTTGAAACTGCTCTACAAATGTATTTCTTGTGATTTCAACCAAGCTTTTCTCTCTGGTACAGAATCCAGCATTCTGAAAGTTGCTAAGGGCTTTCCATCAGTACCTAAAGTATTATATTGAACATTGCTGTTGAGTGGTTAGCACTTTTGCTTTACATTCAAGAAGCTCCTTGTTTGATTTTTGGCCCAGAGAGTGGTTATCCTCGCTGACTGACTGACTGACTTACTCCATGGTATTCCTCATTTCCTCTAAGCAAATTCTGGGGTAGTACTCTAAAATAGGCCATTACCATTTTATTTTATATTCTTCCTTGTTCCTTCACAATCATCGTTTTCCCATTAATTCACCAGAGTATATGAAGTAGAGAAAACATTAAATAAACAAAAAATAAACAGTATTTACGTTTTTATAAAACTCAGTGGTTTTGCATTTTTTCTGTTGTCGTTTTCTTTGAGTGCAATATCTCTGCCCATGTTCTGAACACTCCTTACTTAAATCATATGTTGAACTTATGACATGTTGTGGGGCATATTTTTTTGGTAGACCGATAGCAGGACATGCCAACCTGTGCCCCCAGAGCATCAGTACAAAGCCGCAAGAACTTGAGATTTTGCTGTCAACAGTGAAGCATGAAATCCTTCATGCTTTGGGTTTCTCAGTCAGTCTGTATGCTTTCTACCGCGACGAGGAAGGAAATCCACTCACCCCACGAGGTGACTCTGGCAAGCCCCACCTCAATGAGAAGTGAGTTGTGGCACAGACATTACAACTGTTTACTCATTATGTGTAAATCCTACTCAGCGTGTAAGTGCTCTGATTGATGCTTTACTTTGTATCACCATGGCATGGTACAGCCTTAGGTTGCAGATGGAGATAGCCTCCAGATGTTGAGAATGGCAGTGAATGCATTGAATAAGTAATCATGGTCAGCTGACAAGGGGAGGTAATCCAGTTTTTGAGTTAGAGAGGAGGCTAATAAATTTTCATCATAAAAAAACCATCATCTTACCGACATATTGCACAGGGCCATGAGCTTGGATAGATTCTTTGGACCAACCTAAGCAAAGTACATGATATTAGGAAATTCTAATGTCTGAAGTCTGTAGGTCAGGTTCACTGAAAACTGTAGGAAGAGAATTCACAAAGTGTAAGTTACAGTTAGTGGGAGTATACAAGATCAGGTGGTGGGTGGTATTGAACCAGTGGATGATTATATTGTCATGTATATGAGTAACTGTAGGTGGGGTTTAGATTGGTAATTGGATTTATTGAACACTTACAGATTGTAACTAGACATAACTATAGTGCTATCACTAATTCACACTCTTTATCATTCACTACAGCACGTACTAAGCCTTCTCAATGTGCTGTGTCTTCACCAATCATTGCCTGGTGACAGATCACAACCAAGTCCTCTGCTTCTGTGCTCACGTTCTTACCAGCTGGCGACTGTCCCACAACTCCAGTTGTCCTGCTTATAACATCTCGGAATGAACCATACAGAAAACATTGTTCCTCTGGTGCTGTATCCATTGCTGTGTTTGCGTCTGTTGGGATGCCCACATGATTGCTACTTAGCCATTACTTAGCAACGGTTGCTGTATAACTGTTTACCTTGCAGTCATTACCTAACAGTGGATCTATATGCCGTGATACATTTCCCTATGGAAATTGGAATATTAGTCAACATTTATGAATGGATTCTTTGTATGTAAGGGAATCATATCAGCAGTTAAGGGGGTAGAGCTTATTAGGATGTCATGTACAGAAAGGTTCCATGCCTAAAGCCCTGTCTGAAAAAACTGAAATTGAAAATAGGAAGGAAATATATCAGATATTAATACTGAAAAATTGAAACTATGTTTTAAACAATTTATTCTTCTGACTATGCTAGGGAAATCAGTAAAGAATCTCAAATGGCTTAAACATGAGTCTGAAATTTGTTAACAAATTTTCTGGCTCACGGAGCTAGAGAAGAGTGCATAATGAGGAGTTTAATAATTTGTGATCCTCGGTAAATATTATTATTATGAGCAATTAAATGATGGGGGAGGCATGTAGCATGCATGGTGGAGACCAGAAGTGCATACAGAATTTTGATATGACAATCTGAAGGGTAGAGACCTTTATAATACCTGGGTATAGACAGGTAGATAATGTTAAAATATGTCTTAGAATAGGATTGAAGGTTATGGACTGGATTTATCTGCCATAAGATATAGATCTGTGATGGGCTCATATTGATACCTTTNCTGACTGACTGACTGACTTACTCCATGGTATTCCTCATTTCCTCTAAGCAAATTCTGGGGTAGTACTCTAAAATAGGCCATTACCATTTTATTTTATATTCTTCCTTGTTCCTTCACAATCATCGTTTTCCCATTAATTCACCAGAGTATATGAAGTAGAGAAAACATTAAATAAACAAAAAATAAACAGTATTTACGTTTTTATAAAACTCAGTGGTTTTGCATTTTTTCTGTTGTCGTTTTCTTTGAGTGCAATATCTCTGCCCATGTTCTGAACACTCCTTACTTAAATCATATGTTGAACTTATGACATGTTGTGGGGCATATTTTTTTGGTAGACCGATAGCAGGACATGCCAACCTGTGCCCCCAGAGCATCAGTACAAAGCCGCAAGAACTTGAGATTTTGCTGTCAACAGTGAAGCATGAAATCCTTCATGCTTTGGGTTTCTCAGTCAGTCTGTATGCTTTCTACCGCGACGAGGAAGGAAATCCACTCACTCCACGAGGTGACTCTGGCAAGCCCCACCTCAATGAGAAGTGAGTTGTGGCACAGACATTACAACTGTTTACTCATTATGTGTAAATCCTACTCAGCGTGTAAGTGCTCTGATTGATGCTTTACTTTGTATCACCATGGCATGGTACAGCCTTAGGTTGCAGATGGAGATAGCCTCCAGATGTTGAGAATGGCAGTGAATGCATTGAATAAGTAATCATGGTCAGCTGACAAGGGGAGGTAATCCAGTTTTTGAGTTAGAGAGGAGGCTAATAAATTTTCATCATAAAAAAACCATCATCTTACCGACATATTGCACAGGGCCATGAGCTTGGATAGATTCTTTGGACCAACCTAAGCAAAGTACATGATATTAGGAAATTCTAATGTCTGAAGTCTGTAGGTCAGGTTCACTGAAAACTGTAGGAAGAGAATTCACAAAGTGTAAGTTACAGTTAGTGGGAGTATACAAGATCAGGTGGTGGGTGGTATTGAACCAGTGGATGATTATATTGTCATGTATATGAGTAACTGTAGGTGGGGTTTAGATTGGTAATTGGATTTATTGAACACTTACAGATTGTAACTAGACATAACTATAGTGCTATCACTAATTCACACTCTTTATCATTCACTACAGCACGTACTAAGCCTTCTCAATGTGCTGTGTCTTCACCAATCATTGCCTGGTGACAGATCACAACCAAGTCCTCTGCTTCTGTGCTCACGTTCTTACCAGCTGGCGACTGTCCCACAACTCCAGTTGTCCTGCTTATAACATCTCGGAATGAACCATACAGAAAACATTGTTCCTCTGGTGCTGTATCCATTGCTGTGTTTGCGTCTGTTGGGATGCCCACATGATTGCTACTTAGCCATTACTTAGCAACGGTTGCTGTATAACTGTTTACCTTGCAGTCATTACCTAACAGTGGATCTATATGCCGTGATACATTTCCCTATGGAAATTGGAATATTAGTCAACATTTATGAATGGATTCTTTGTATGTAAGGGAATCATATCAGCAGTTAAGGGGGTAGAGCTTATTAGGATGTCATGTACAGAAAGGTTCCATGCCTAAAGCCCTGTCTGAAAAAACTGAAATTGAAAATAGGAAGGAAATATATCAGATATTAATACTGAAAAATTGAAACTATGTTTTAAACAATTTATTCTTCTGACTATGCTAGGGAAATCAGTAAAGAATCTCAAATGGCTTAAACATGAGTCTGAAATTTGTTAACAAATTTTCTGGCTCACGGAGCTAGAGAAGAGTGCATAATGAGGAGTTTAATAATTTGTGATCCTCGGTAAATATTATTATGATGAGCAATTAAATGATGGGGGAGGCATGTAGCATGCATGGTGGAGACCAGAAGTGCATACAGAATTTTGATATGACAATCTGAAGGGTAGAGACCTTTATAATACCTGGGTATAGACAGGTAGATAATGTTAAAATATGTCTTAGAATAGGATTGAAGGTTATGGACTGGATTTATCTGCCATAAGATATAGATCTGTGATGGGCTCATATTGATACCTTTGGGTTCGATAAAAGGTAGAAAATGTGTCGAAAATCTGAATGCAGTTAAGCTTCTCAGGAAGTACTCTGTTATGGATTATCAGTTACATTGAAGCTTTACTTGATTTTACTAGTCT